AACCGACTAGCCTCCTCTCGCATACTCAACAGCTTGCTCAGGATCCAGCTGAAATGGGCTTTGCACCCTACATCCCAATAGCTAACTGCTTTGAAGCAGTATTCTTTGATCCATGCAATCCAGAGAGAGCCTTCATTGACCAATATGTTTTTAACAATGAGCAAACAACAAGCTTTATTCCAGACCACAAGACTTCTAAGGCCCAAGCCACCCTCAGACTTCAAGGAGCAGATCTGGCTCCAACCCACTCGAGCTCCTTTTGCTGATGAATCACTGCCCTTCCAGAAAAAATGCATACAAAGGCGTTCAATATCCTTAATAATTCCCTTAGGCAAGGCCAGTTGTCTACTCCAATAGTTAAACATGCTAAACATAACAGTTTTAATCAATTGGAGCCTACCACCATAACTCAGGTTCTTGTTGGACCAGTGCCTGAGCTTATCCTTAATCCTTGTCAAAAGTGCCTCACAGTCTTTTCCTGTGAGCTTGCGGGTCACCAGAGGCACCCCAAGATACCTCACAGGAAGCTGTCCCAATCTAAAACCAGTAACCAATCTGATTTGCTCTAATTCAAGCGTATTCAAAACACAAGCATATAATTCTGTCTTCTATGCATTCAATTTAAGGCCAGACAACTCATAAAACTTGTCTAATGTGCTTTGGACTCCCAGCACAGCATCTAAAGAGCCATGGCAAAAAACAAGTAGATCATCTGCAAAACAAAGATGAGTGAGGGAAATTCTTCTACACTTAGGGTGGAACTTAAAAATACCATGTTTTGCAGCTGTATCTAAGAGAGAGGACATAACATTCATGGCTATAACAAATAGGTAAGGAGATAAAGGATCTCCTTGCCTAACCCCCTAGCTCCTCTGAAATACCCAACCATGCTACCATTTAAAGAGAGAGAGAACATAGGGGTAGTAATGCAAGCTTTAATCCAATTACAGAAAATATTAGGGAGCCCCATAGCAGCAAGAACAATCAACAAGAAACCCCAACTAACAGAGTCAAAAGCCTTCTGTAAATCTATTTTAATTGCACATCTAGGAGAAAGACTCTTCCTAGAGTAGCCCTTAACTATTTCATGGGCTAGCAAGGTGTTGTCAATAATGTTTCTACCCTTGACAAAGGCTGATTGACTAAGTGATATCATACCAGGAAAGAGGGGGGCAAACCTGTTAACTAAGATTTTGGTGATAGTTTTATAAACTACTGAACAAATTTACAACTGTTAAATACTTAAATTAATTGATGTGCGAGTAAATCATGCCAAAAATAATACTATATTTTTTCATTAAGTTAAGGTAATTATAAAATAGTATCTGTTTTAAATATCGTTAATCATTTGACAATGAACATCCAATCACCTTACTACAGTCATTGTCCGTTGGTGTTCGAACTAATGACATATAAGAATAACAACAGTTCCTTTAATTATTAAAGTAAATTAAATCCGCATGGTCTTATACTATATTATATAACGGACGAAATAATTCATAAACCATGTTGATAAGACCACTGAATTTGTTTTCAGTTTTTTTAGGCCTTTTCTCTTGGGTACTAATTAGGAAACTCGTTTTAATCAAGAATTAGCAAAACAAGAGGAAAGGGCCTAGAAGTTTAGTTGTAATTATCAATGAAAATCAGGGGCAATTTCGTACCTATGTCTTTATATAAATCCCATTGCCATTCGAGTCTTATCACTTCCAAGTTCCTGCAGCAACAAAAAAGAAAATTGAGCTCACTCATCAGAACAGATATCAGCAACAATGGCGATGGCTTTCAAGATGGTAAATCCCTTTTGTTTTCTTATCATATAATCTTCCATTATATGTAATCCGGTGTATTTGGTGAACTGTATGATATAATAGGCTACGACCGGGATGTGGGTCACCGATGAGTGCAAGAACTCGTTCATGGAGATGAAATGGAAGAAAGTCCATAGATATATAGTGTTCAAGATCGACGAGAAATCGAGGCTCGTCACCGTCGATAAAGTCGGCGGTCCCGGCGAAAGCTACGACGATCTTGCTGCTTCATTGCCTACCGATGACTGCCGATACGCCGTGTTTGATTTCGATTTCGTCACCGTTGATAACTGCCGGAAAAGCAAGATCTTCTTCATTGCATGGTCCGTCGCCTTTTCTAACTATATCGTCACTATTATTGATCAAGAAGTATAGCCAAAGTGTTGGATAATTTTAATTGATTTAAGCGACTAACCCTAATCCGTTTGATTAATGTTGGATTATAGGGCCCCAGCGGCATCAAGAATCAGAGCAAAAATGCTGTATGCAACGTCCAAAGATGGGCTGAGGAGAGTGCTAGATGGCATCAGCTATGAAGTTCAAGCAACTGACCCAACCGAGATGGGGATTGATGTGATCAAAGACAAAGCTAATTAGGGTTTTAATTACATTTATAAATCATGTTTATCACCATCTTACGTACTTTTATTTTAATAACTACAACCACGTGTCTTTCCCCTTTTTGTCCTGTTGTTACCTTTCTTTTAGCTAGATTTCTGGTATTAATGTAAGTTAATCTTATAATTTATAATAATCTTTTTCTTTTACTAGTTTTGTGTTACATATATAACTATAAGATTAAAGACGATAGTTTATGGGATAAAATATAATTAAAAAGAAAGGATGTGTATGCGTTGTCAATGGTTAATAAAGATCATGAATATATATTATCTTGTAATCACTCCAGACTATTCAAAGAAAAAGAACGGAACCATTGAGTGCAGTGGTAAAAAGGAATGTTGATATTCCTAGATGATTCATGTTTGAGCAGTTACGTTTGTAAGATATATGTACGTTATCAATTATTCTAAACATATATTATCTTATAATCACTCTAAATAAAATCGAGGGTCAAGATTCACTATTGTGAACAAATAATTAGGGTTTGGCACCTAACTTCTAAAGCACATTGTACAATATATAATATGTGTGTTTTGTTTTCCAATCTCTTACCATTTTCGTCTAATCAAACTCGTTAAAATATAGTCGTTAGGTAACCCTTGATTTTAGGCTTCTACTAATTCATCATAGATTAAAGTTTGTGAACCAACAACCAGTTGGTCTAGTGGAATGAGACATTAAGTCCCTTAAGTAAGGTCAGGGGCTTTTACGAATGGAGGGAAATGGGTTGGAGGGTCGTCCTCACATCTGAGTACCTGATCTAGATTAGTCGGTCAATAGATTGAAAACAAGTGATTAATTAAAAAAAAGTTTGTGAATTCAATGATGGAGCATCTTTTCTTGCTTTGGTATGCATCAACCCTTCTCATCATTCATTAAAGAGTAATTAACCTATTGCTTTAATGAGAGGGTAATATTTCTTTTGATATCATATGTTCCATTTCAAAGTTTATGGTGCAATAATTATGCATGATCATTTGGTACCTTCCTAACCAGTGTTATGCTAAGTTTTATTTTACGAACAAATTTTGACATATCAAAATACAAATACTTTATACTTTTAATATAATGAAAATATAAATTATATTAAAATATATTATCAAGTATTTGTAAAATATTTTTAAAGAATTATTAATGAAATGTGTACTTTTACTTAAAATATTTTAAAATGAAATCATATTAATTAAAAGTATTTTTTAAATCTGATTTTTAATGCCAACGGGTTGCTTCAAGTGGTAAGCAACTTAATATCACTTTGAGTAATTCTGTATGTAAAAAAATCCCCGTCGAGAGACTCACCCACCAAAATCAAGTGTGCGACACATGTCAGTTCAAATTAATTAGGATGAAGTCTTAGAAATCAAAAGGGCAACTAAAAAAATCTGAAATTTAACTTTCAGTGATGAAAATGGAAGTATCAATACCTGCCCAAGTATCAATTCTATGTTTAGATTCAATATTTTAGTTTTTTTTATAATAAAATCAACAATATTGATATCATCTCAAAGGTCTTGATACTTTTATACAAGTATCTACATTTTAGGTTTAACAGCACAAAAATCAAATATTAAACTGTTACTCTTTATATATATATAATTTAATTTTAGGTTGAGTCGGATCACGTTCGAATTTTATCTCAAAAAGAAGGATTGAGATCGAGTCCAACGGAAGGTGTAAACTTTTCAGGTCAAATTCAGATCAGATGGAGAATATCTAATTTTTGGATCGAATTGGGTGAACCTAAAATCTGACCCGATCCGACCCATGCCAATATCCAGCACATCAAATGGTGACAAGTGTAGTAGGCTTTAATTATATAGAGACGTTTCAAGATTCCACCAAGCCCTGTAATTTACATACAACACATTGGGCCTAAAGGACTTTAATTACCACGACTACAACATTTCATCCGTATGAAGTTGACACAAAATGGGATCATATTTTATGATTCTTTCTTTTTCATAATTTTTAGGTGAGCTAAATTTTATCATATTATTAATGAGTAAAACTGAAAATTATGTAAACATTCATATATTAATATTTTAAAATGACAATTTTCGTTCAATCAAGTCTTTTAATTTAGAAATAAATTATTAAAAGCATAATATATTATAAAACGCAGTGTTGAATATGTAGGAAACAATAGTTGAATTATGAAAATAGAAACACGACAATCGATAGAAAATCAAATACTAAGTGATTTATCTAAACATTAATAGATAGTATAAACAAGGCACTCCAAAGATAAGAAAAGAAAAGAGTACATTGTCTTTAGGGTTTATTAGAGGGATTATTTTTGGTCAAATTACGTACCTAAACTATTCTTCTGTGATTATTTTAAATCTCTCTGCTAGTTCTATTAAAATATACCTTCTAACCAATAATATGTTGACACATCATATTAAATAATTTAACTAAAATTTTAGACAAGTTTTCTTGCAAGGTTTTCTAAGGACCAGAAGCAAAGGAATAAGCAGCATCAATTATTACAAGTTATGGTCAACAATTTCATTCTCTCTATCAAGCAAAAGAAAAGAAACTAAAAACCAGTGGAGGTGGTGAATCGAAATGAATGGGATAGGGAAAAGGAGGGTTCCACCATCCCCACATGAGTTGCTCTACACTGTAAATAGAGCACAAGTTGAAGAGACGGGGAAGAAGATATTCTTCTTACTGGTAAGGCTTGCATGACTGCTTGGGATTTAGTTCAAAAGATTATAGTGCCATTTTTTTAAACGGAAGTAACAGAAGGATTTAAAATAATCACAGGAAAATAGTTCAGGTACTTCGTTTGATAAAAAAATTATTAATTGTTAGAAAGTTAAATACACTGCAATTGGTTTCAACTACAAACTGCCAGAAAATTATAGAAAGGAAAAGAAAAATAATCAGCAAATAATTTTCTCCAAATTAATTTGTTACAAAATAGCCTCTTACACTGCTGGTGTCGGTTGAGTGTTCATATTTGTATGATTCCCAACCAGTCTCAATCAGTTTGGTATGCCTCTCAACGGGGAATGATTTACAGGGAATTAAACAATCAAATCTTTTTAAAATTTTGAAATCTTTATACAATATATATATATATATGGTAAATTACATCGTCCCTCACCGGACTATACTCTCTCTCTCTTATTTTCTTCACCCAACTTTCAGTTTTTCTATTTTATTCACTGAACTTACAGATTGAATCATTTTGTTCACTCTCTCGTTTCTCTCTAACCACTGGATGATGGGGTATTTTTATTATTTTTTAATATAAAATAATTAAATAAAAACAGAAGTTAGTCGGAGTCCACCGTTGGCCACCGTAGATGGTGGTAGTTCGGTACCAAATTTCATGGGTTGCTTCGCTGTGACATCGTGAGTCCGAATCTAACCTTCATTTTGTCGAAAGTTGCTCCGAAGTCTACGAATTTGAGATTAAAAGTGAGGAAGATGAAACGTTTCAATCGAGATTCACGGGTTTTGAGATATTTTCTAGTGAAACAACTATCAGATTCAGACTCAAGGGGTCGAGATAAACCGACCCATGAAATTTGGGACCGAACAGCCACCTCAACGATGGTGGACGGTGGCTGAAATGAAAATGACATCGACGCCAGCGGAGAGAAAATGAAGAAGAAAAGGAAAAAAAAAGTAAATTACACAATTTCTCACTTAACTTTACTCCATTTCCTATTTTACTCACCAAGCTTTCAATATAGGATTCAAAACAATGTAGTTTGGTGTATATTTGAGTTTTTCAAAAGGATGTCGTTTTGATACTTGTGCCACATCATATGCCGTTAAATAGTTAACGGCAGAGTGAGAAAATGATTCAATTTGTAAAATTTAGTGAGCAAAATAAAAACAATTAAAAATTAAGTGAGAAAAATAGGAAAGAGAGTATAGTTCAATGATGAATGGTTCAATTTGTAAATGTTTTTATGACATGTAAAATTTGTGTGGGTCTGTGTTTGTCGTTTTTTGGAGTCGAGAATAAAGCCTGAAAAGCTTGCTCCTTTGCACTTTTTTATTATAAATGTACTGAGCTTTTAACATTTCAATTTATTAATTAAATTTTACTTTTGAACATATTTATAGATTAAAAATAGGGTTAACTACATTGGTGGTAACTTATCTTTATATTTTATTTACATTTGATCACTGATTTAAAAAAAATAAGATATAATTAATTTTATTTTTATTTAATTAAGATATGGTCACTTTCGTTTTTATTTAATTAACATGTGGTCACCTCGAATTAACTGTCGTTAACAGCAGTAAACTATTTTTTATATAATCACACATTTTATCCTGTTATTTACATATTCTCTTAATTTAGTCATACTTTTAATAAATTAAAATAAATTTAATCTTCCAATCAAATGATGCAACATGTCATGTCAGTAAGATTGTTAAAAAATACCCGACCCGATTGAGCTGACTCGTCGACCCGCTGACTAGTTAAAAAATATTGGGTATTTATAATAAAACTACCCACTTTTCCGGGTCGGGTACTCGGGCAGGTTTCTGGGTTGAGCATGGGTCACAAAATGTTGGTTAATCGGGTACCCTCCGACCTGGTACCCTATTTATTATATACTTTTTATTTTTCATATTTATTTTATATTAAAGTTTATTCATAATCCTCAAATTATTTCACTCTAACATTCTAAAACCCTAATTTCTTAAATTTTGACACCATAACGTTCTAAATTCTTAAATTATTTCACATTAACGTTCTAAATTATTTTTTAAAATATTTATTTTAAGTTCAAAATATTTGAAATTTAATTATATTTCTTTATTTTAAATTTTAATAAATTTTATTTCAATTATGTAATTTGAATTTTTAAACTTTTTGTGTGGATTATATATATATATATATATATTTATTATAGACTTTTAAATTTAAAATTTTAGAATTTTTTATATAAATGTTTTTAAAAATAATATAAAAATAAAAAATTATGAATCAGGTACCTGCGACCCAAATTATATAACTTAAAATATTTTTATATCAACTTATTAAATATATTTTATTATTAACTTAATTTAAAAATATTTTATTTTTATTTTCATTTAACAATATATAATTTATTTTAATTTATTAAAGTATTATTAAATTGAGATAATATGTAAATAACATGGATCAATGTGTGAATATATCAAAATATTTAATTGTTGTTAACGAGATTTAGCTCGGGGTGACCATATATTCATTAAATAAAAATAAAAGTGATCATATCTTATGTTTTTGAAATCAGTGACCAAAATTAGATAAAACACAAAGATAAATTACCATCCATGTTTTTAGCCCTTAAAAATATGTGGAGCGACCCCATTAATGCAACGGACATAGTGTGCTTTAAACAGTAAAAAATATTTTTTTCACATTATAAATAATATTATAATCTCTCAACTACACCATTCCTACAGCCATTGTTTATTAAAAAGGTTTAATTCAATAATAGCCCCTCAAACTTTACCTTTTCTATCAAATCTGATTCTTAAACTATAATTTCGTAACTACTTTAAGCCTTTTAGTTGACAGTGAATCCTAATTTTTTTTAAATAGAGAGATAACTATATTTTTAACATAAATATCGAGATATGAACCCATATAAGATTAAATAACATGAACATAATTAATCATTCGATCAACTAATGGATCCTACACCAAATCCCAAAATTGGTTCCAAACAACTCTCCTTTCCCCTTGTAAGAAAATTCAATTAATTATTCTAATTAAGTTATAGTCATATATTTTTCTCTTAAAAGCACTAACTCAAGATATCTCTATCATGTTTATTAGAAAAATTATATCATCACTTTAGACAAAGCATATTACGGAATTAATTATTTGAGTTAATCAATTAAATTAAAAAAGTAGGATCAAATCATTTAAAATTAAACTAACAAGACAGGATCACAACTATAAGCATAATAAAGGGACCAAAACCAAATTGAGCTTTTTTAAACAATCAAATAAAGCCGTTTTGTTGTTGATTAATTGGACTAGTGTTTTACATTAGGGAAAATTGTATTCAGTCACTCAGCTATCATTTTGATTATATTTTGGTCATTGAACTATTATTTTCTAAAAATCATATGTAAAGTTACATTTTAGTCACTGGGTTAAACCCTGAAATTCTTAAGCCGGATTTGATTGCTCCTGGGGTTAACATTTTGGCTGCTTGGACTGATGCCGTTGGCCCAACCGGGTTAGACTCCGATCCAAGGAAGACAGAGTTTAACATCCTGTCAGGAACTTCCATGGCTTGCCCTCATGTTAGTGGTGCAGCGGCTTTGCTTAAATCCGCACACCCTGATTGGAGCCCGGCTGCAATTCGATCCGCAATGATGACTACTGCAAGTATAACCGATAATACAATTCGGCCTATGATCGATGAAGCAACTGGAAAGCCTACGACTCCTTACAATTTCGGTGCTGGACAACTAAATCTCGGTCGTGCAATGGATCCCGGACTTATTTACGACATCACCAACAGTGATTATGAAAGCTTCTTGTGTGCTATTGGTTATAATCCCAAGTTAGTTCAAGTTGTTATGCAGTCTCCGGTGGTTTGTCCAATGAAGAAGCCATTGCCCGAGAACCTTAACTACCCCTCAATTGCAGCATTGTTTCCAACCACATCAAGGGGTCCATCGAGCAAAAGGTTCACTAGGACTGTGACTAATGTGGGTCAGGCAAACGCCATTTACATCGCGAAGATAAACGCACCGAGAGGAGTTACTTTGACGGTGAAACCGATGAAGTTGGTGTTTGTCGCGACCGTCTTTCGGTTGGGCCTCGAAATTAGGCTTCGACGTGAATGAATTGGATTAAAGTCGCCACCGACCACTTTAAAACAAATTTAGGTGGGTCGGACACCATCTTACCTGATCTGCGTTGTACCAGAAACGTGTCGGGTTCGGGAGTCGGTTACGGTCAAGTAAGGATTAGCACCCTTGAACCGCCCTTTCGGTACCAATTAATTTTCCGGTTGTCTTTAATTGCGAAAATTGAAATTGAAATTTAAAAACCCGATTCAAATTATTTACCTTCGGTTGAAATTACTACCGAAGCAAAAATAAACAAAATGATAGATGACAAAATAAAATATTGAATGCTAAACAAAAAGAAAAAAATGAATAATAAATAATAAAATAAATAAATAATAATAAATAATGTATTATCATTTCTTAATTCATATTTATTATGACAAATGAACATGAGAAACACCAACATGTGAAATAAACACAACAAATATAGAACTCGTCCATTTCAAAACAGTCAGCGTTAGTATTTTATAAAACAGAAAAAAACAACAATTGTAAAATTCCGCAAGCAAACACGTTCCAAAACAACAAAAGCAATTAAAAAAAACCTTTTGAACTGCAAATGAAAATTAAAGTCCGTGTATTTAGCTCAGCTACAAATCTTTAGCGCTTCTTCTTGCTTGCTTTTGCACCACTGGTGTAACCCCGGACTTGGATTTAAATGTTTTGGGATCGTGTGAAGCAGCAGCACACTGGGTTCTTTATGTTTCAGACTCTGGACTGTGGTCCCACGTTTTTCTCTGTGTCATTTCCTCTTGATGCTTGAGTCTATTTATAGTCTAAAGAAACCTATTTTTAGCTCAGATTTAGAGTCCTACTTAGACTCAAATGCTTCGGTTTTAGTGTTTCAATAGGACTCAAATACGTTGGTTTTAATATTTCAATAAGATTCAAATACGTTGATTTATTTTTTGAATCTCACTAAATCAGGGTTGTTGAGTGTGGGGCCTGCAAAAAAAATAATAAATAAATATAATATAATAAAATATTTTTGTAGACCCGGACAAAAACGGATGTCTACAGCTGCCCCTCTTTGCACATTTTTGTGTTAACAAGAATATGATAAAGATGAAAAAGACAACCAGTTTTTGTTCGGTTCTCTTTGATTTGAGACTTGATAGTGTTTGTTGTGACACTAAGTCGATCCATTGGGCACGATATCCTTCTTCTTGAAGTTGAAATCGTGGGTGAATCGAAAAGTGACTCTTTGTTGCCAATCGGTCGACCTTGTTCTTCTTCTTGATTTAAAGACATGGGTGTAAAAATTTGACCGAAAAGTAGTTCCTTGCTAATGCAACGCGGTTGATACGCCCTGGAGCTGAATGGAATCGAACTCGAAGGTCTTTGTTGACAGATAACCCTTCTAGCCTTGAGTTATGCTGTAAATGATGTGCCTTGGAGCTGAGCGTAGTCGAACTCGAAGGTCTTTGTTAGCAGATAACCCTTCTTGACTTGAGCTATGTTGCAAATGAACACAATATCATTCGTTGTGAAGTTGAAATCGTGGATGGACCCTTCGTCGTGAAGTTGAGCCTGGAATTGAATATCATTCGTCGTGAAGTTGAAATCCAATCTAAAGGTGAATGTTGTTGGTGAGCATGATTCCATTTGTCATGAATTTGAAATCATATATGGTCTCTTCGTCGTGAAGTTGAACCTTGGAGTTGGATATCATTCGTCGTGAAGTTGAAATCCAATATAAGTTGTGATGTTTCGAGGCCAATATCCTTCGCTATGAAGTTGAAATTGACTTTGAAACTGGAAAGTTTATTTACAGATACTCCTTCTTTGAGTTGGATATCCTTCGTCGTGAAGTTGAAATCCAATCTAAAGATGGATGTTGCTTGTGTGCATGAATCCCTTCGTCGTGAAGTTGAAACCGCGGGTGGACCCTTCGTCATGAAATTGAGCCTGGAATTGGATATCCTTCGTCGTGAAGTTAAAATCCAAGTAAGTTGTATTGCTCCGAGTCCAATATACTCCGCCGTGAAGTTGAAATTGGCTCTGGAACTGGGAAATTGTTTGTTGACAATCAGCCGCCCCTTCATCGTGAAGTTGAGCTTATGTTGTCTTGAGTCCAATATCCTTCGTTGTGAAGTTGAAATTGACTCTGAATGAAATTGAAAAGTTATTCGTTGACAATCAGTCGCCCCTTCGTCGTGAAGTTGAGCTTGTGTTGTCTTGGGTCCAATATCCTTCGTTGTGAAGTTGAAATTGGCTCTGAAATTGGGAAGCCCCTTCGTCGTGAAGTTGAGCCCCGAATGGCACGATAGCCTCCATCGTGGAGTTGAAATCGTGGATGTGTGGGTACGATATCCTCCGTCGTGGAGTTGAAATCGCTGATGGCCCCTTCGTCGTGAAGTTGAGCCTTGACTTAAATATCATTCGCCGTGAAGTTGAAATCCAAGTATTGTATGTTGCGGGTGGACACGATTCCCTTCGCCGTGAAGTTGAAACCGTGGATGACCCCTTTATTGTGAAGTTTAGCTTCGAGCTAGATATCTTTCGTCGTGAAGTTGAAATCTACTCTCGAACAAATTGTGTTGTTTCGAGTCCAATTTCTTTCGCCGCGAAGTTGAAATTGACTCTAAAAGTTGTAAAAAATTATGTGTGCTAAAAATGATAAATGTGATGCTCCTAAGTATATATAAGATGCATGCAACATGAATGAGTTATCTTGGATTGGAGTCCCGTGTTTTGTCTGCCAATCTGATTCATGGAATCAATCGTGCCCCATTTGCTTCTCGAGCTTTAGCTTTACTGACCTTTCATATTTGAGACTGTCCTGTTTGAAAATGTTTTTCTCCTTTTTCTTGTTTTAGGAGGGAAAATGATAAAAATTATGTAAAATATTGTTCGCAATTGAATCAAATTGTAAACATGAGTTCAAAGTATATCAAAGGAATCAATAGCTCTTTTTAATGCTTTCAGAGTTATAGCTCTTTGACAAATGTTCAAATTGACTTCAAGTTGACTTCCTTTCTAAAGTTTCGGTAACCCAAAATGTCATTTTTTGAAATATCGCAACATGCTTTTTCTTTGGTTTGACATTTTAATTGGGTGCGGACAAAATGACGCAACTAGCATGATCAATTACTAGATCTTTTATTTCAGTCCTCTGAAATCTTCCATTTGTTCAAGTTTTGTAAGCTTCTCTAACAAAGATAGTGTAAAAATATCGGTCTAAAAATGAAATTCTTGAGTGCTCGTATGTATTTGACTATAACAGGTGTTCCTTAACTCCCTTAGTTCATCATTACCGAAAATTTCTTGTTTAGATAAATTTGATTTAATTTGCCATTATCTGGCTAGCCAAATCCATAAAGCCAGGGCGTTTAACCAATTGCTTTAGAGGGAAAGCTTAATATTATAATCACTTTTATCAGGTTAACTGAAAGGTTCATCTCATCACAAAGTCTTCAACCTGACAATAGCAGTGGAGCAAACACTGAGTTGCCAAGTGTCTGAGCAATGTCATGGTTTGAACGCAATCTATTCATAAAGCCAGGGCTTTCGAGTTTCCTCTATAACCAATTGCCTTAGCGGAATATCTCAGTTTTTACGGATTTAATTTCTTAAGATTGTAAAAAAGAACCTGTTATAGCCTAAGTGTTGTTAAAAGTCAAGGAATCTCATCTTTAGAGTTCAATTTCCAAGCAACTGACCTAAACTAGATTCACTTACTCGACTATTCCATCTGTGAAGATCATTATCATCACTGAACGTCTTAGATAAAAAGCATAGTAATGTCATATGCAAAATGATGTCTCATGTTGCCCGCACCTTATGAAAGGAAATGTTACATTGGTTAATTGCAAGAGCAGGGTACGGTGTTTGAGTGTATATTCTGGGCAATGTCAAAGTCCTTGTTTTAAATCATGTTGCTTTGTCAGGGATTCATACCTTTGAACCATTTACAGAGCTTCTTAATTCAGTTGATATTCAAAGAATTGCAAGTTTGCAAATGTGATTCATTTCTCGTCATCATTAAAGTAACACAAATTTATTCAAATGTTCTTACAAAAACTTGAGAAAAAATGAAAAACAAACTCAAACAGAATGCCTCAAATGATGAAATGATCTGCCTAACTTGGATGCCCCCGAGTTGTTGAAGTCGATCCAATTCTTGTTATGTATTTTCTGTACGATTCTCTTGAATGTGGAGTAGTTCTTGATAGTGTACCCTGGGACACCGCTATGATATTCACAATGAGCATCTTACCTGGTCATGGATTTCTCTGGACATGGTGACACCACATGTGCGTCAAACAAATGTTGGTAAAGCTCCTTATATGTCACAGGATCGAAATGTTCTCATTTTTTATTAGGCATGTGAATGTAATAAAAAAGAGAAAAGTAATGCGAAATATGCAGGAATGCATGATGCATGCATTGTTCGAGGCATTGATCCAAAAAATGTGCCTGTTATTAGAAATAATCCTTATTGGGGACAAAAGTGTTTTATCTTTTAAGAGACAAAAATATCCTGACAGCTTCTGATATGTTGACTAGTCTTCTGCCTTCGTCTGTCACCGGTTGAATAACTTGTCGAACCGCTCTGGCTTCTTCGGATGAACTATGCAAATGACGAGTTGTTTGCCCAAAATTAAGTCTCTAAGGACTGCACCTCCGGCTTCCATTCTCTGCTGAGTCTGTTCCCTAACAGCAACACCATTGGAGCCATCCATCGATGCAGTTTGCCCAAAATAAAGCTTGCTTCTTGAATTTGTCAGCAATGGCATTCAACTCAGCTAGGGTTTTGCCATCTTATTCTCATAGTTTTCGAAATGAGTGTCCGGGTCAGTAACCTTTTCCTCGTCTTGCCCCTGCAATCTTTGCAGTCAATTTTTTAAAGATAGACTTTCATTGTGCTTGATGTAGACCCGGTTCATTCTGAGTCCTTTATAATGCAGCAGAGTGATATACTCTTCAATTGTGGGCACCACGTCTTCTGGATTGAATATGACACATAGTCGCCTTGTAGAATGTCCTTTGCA